TGGCAGTTTCGACAGAATACAGACCACTTCGAATTATTTTATTCGATTATGGTAACGTGCCTATCACATTGAGGTTAAGTTAGGTTAGGTTAGGTTACGTTAGGTTACGTTAGGTTAGGTTAGGTTAGGTTATCACATTGGGGTTAGCTACGCCTGGATTCGTTTCAGCAAGTAGATATCCACATGTTTAAATGGACCTTGTTGGAGCATACGTAATCCTAAAATGTAGCATCGTACTACAGGTGGCGTTTACCGCGCCATTTGTGGTATTTTCTAAAGAGCATCTATGTATTCACTACCACATTATACATAAAACACTAAAAAACCGAAATTAGACATAAAAACGTTAAAAGCTTGAAACGATTTTTTGATCTTTTTTATTCTGTCAAAGCACATGATACTTGGTGGTGGTTATTTCTCATACTAATCCATACGCCGATTTAAGGACATTCAGTTAAGGTATTTCTGGTCACATCCTTGCCATAATGAGCCACAGCAAGTATCATTATAATTATTATCATTTGGAGATATTCTAACCGGTTGCGACGACGTCGTTGCTGTGGTCTAACCTTCTGTTACTGCTATCAGACTCACCGTCACGTCGCGACGCCGACTAACGCGCGGACGACGACGTTGCCACCGCGTCCGTTTCCATCCGGTCGATAGACGTTATCATGTTCGGGGGTTGCGTGTCTTATAATAAATTCTGAAACGAGTAATTTGGGTCGGCATTTCGGAAAATATTCCCTTTACTATGAAGAAAGACGAAACTGTTGGGCTAAAGTAAATTACACCGGCTGAACTATTTATTAACACCTGCTATTAATTATACCAGGTGTTAAACTAATACTTTAAAAATGAGTAATTGGAAAATGTACATTTTAAAAACAGGATTCTGTTTTAATTTACTAATATGAAAAAATTAAAATATTAGTCACTTAAGTTGAGTAGACCAGCTCAGACTAACCTTCCTCTAAGCTATTTTGTGTTAAATTTTACTTTTTTTATTTTAAAACATGTTAAAGTGCCTCTTTTTTTAGTAGTAGGATTTAAAATACTCTTCGATCCTTTCACTTGACGTTCTCTCCGTTTGTCCTATGTAAACTTTTGTTGCAAATAACTTGTTTGCTAGAAATTTACGAATTTGTGTGTATTTCTAAAGTTCAACCTTACATACTCGCAATAAATCATAGTTTTCGCAATTTATGGTTGACGTATAGTCAAAAGTACATAGATCTTTTTGATGGCAGACCTGCTCTGTTTGTAATATATTCACCTTAACGTATTGCTGGCTTAAGTGTATGCATACATCCCATTCTACTTGCTCGAATTATAAAACAATAATATATGAGTACCGTGTTCCTGACATTAACTGGAGGTCTGTTTCTAACGGCAATGGACTGAAACCATACTGTGGTAGCCGTATGTGCATACTTGGTCCCTATATCCAGAGAGCAGCTCAGCTGACAACGAGCTCGCACCATAAATTCCTATTTGCTTTCATAAATACATAGCATAACTGTGAAACACGTCCAGGTTTCAGGTATTCGGAATTCGGATACGGAATCTCCGTTAAATATTTAGGTAGCAGCAGACCTTCTTTGAACATTTCCAATTCTCCAAAGGACTGCCTACTTCTTGTGTTTATGGATAAAATTTTTGTAATAAGTTGGGGAAAATGCGAAAAACAAATTTTCATTAGTAAAAGATTTGTAAATCCTATTATATTTCGATCAGCTCAAAAATTCTTATTTACTTCGTTTTATATTCAAATAAAGAATTCAATTTTATCTTGTAGAAAAAAAAAGGATAAAGATCAATAGTTTTTCTTCGAACCTTTGAGTACAACGTGAATGACATTTTTAAAGTCTTTATTAATTTGTTAGATCGATTTAAATAGAGGAGACACAATACTTTTAGTAATAATATTTGTGACGAAATGACCTGTAAATTCTAGAAACAATTTTTAGTAGTATTTCTAGTCGTACAAACTGTAAGTAGTATTAGTCTTTTTCTTGGTCATACTACTTGTTTTATACATTTTTGTGTTTCTCTTCCAGTATTAAAATTGTGGCAAAATTTTTAATAAAGTTGGAGGTATTTTTACTATTTGAAACTTTTTGACAAATACTTCAAAAATGTTCATAATTAGTGGTTAATTGTAGGTCTTCTAAGTATTGAGATTACCTAATAAACCTAATAGAAGTATTTCTTCGTTCCAAAGAGTTGTTTATCATTTATCATCATTTTTGGTTTATAGGTATTTGTTTATTTCTAATTTTGGATCCATATTCATTCCTTTATTTTCATACAAGCAAAACTTACATTACAAATTACAACTATTTTAATGAGAAATCTTTGGTTTTTGTTTTAAATCTTCTTATTATTTACATTCCATAGAAGTTTATACTAAATATTTTGTGATAAAAAGAGAACACCTTTAGAAAAGTAGATTAAGGTATAAAAACAGAGAAACTCGTTGTGTAAATAATAGATATCAGCGGCGAATTTTCGGCTTCTTGTTATCTCGAAACCTTTTGCTCTGTTAATATTTTATTTTATTAACTTAATAAGTGAACTCCGCTAATCCACTTCGCGAGATTCTTTCGAGCTCCAACTCGAACTAATCCGTTTGTATACGATAGCAATCTAATTGTCTTCTTTTCACTTGGAACCGCAAACTTGAGGGTAACACGATTAACACGGGGAATTAGATCAAAAATGGCCTACTCATCGTAAAAGACCAAACAGTAATTAATGGAAGGTTTCTTTCTGTTTGCGACTGTTTACTTTTAACGAGCTTTTGTAGTAAGTATGGAGTCGTATCTGTAATGATTCCTTTACTGGGATTATGATATCTATAATTAGAATCAGACAATAAATTAATAAAGTAGTGTTCATTAACTGAATTGTTAAATTATGAAACGGTTAAGATTTTAAGAAGTGTTGACTCTGCAAAATCGAGCTAATAAGTCATGCTTTTGGTTTAATCTTGGCCTTTGATAAATGTGCGTTACTACAAAACAAAACTGAAAGAACAAGATTATTTTTACTCCTAACTAGTGTCCTTTACAGTGTTGCATCCGGGTCCTGTTTCCTTCTTGATTGAATTGAACAGTAGCGGATACAAGGGATGATAGATGAGAAGATTCTCTCACATTCATCATCATAAGGTCGTCAGTCCTAAGACTGGTTGGTCACGCACTTCCACGCTCTTTCCTATTCCCAACTAATCTTCGCATTTCCCTAAAACTAGAACAACTCACATCCTTAACTATTTGCGAATAGTAATCTAATCTAGGTCTACCTGTTCTCCTCTTAACTCCTGTTTATGTCTCTGACTAAACCTTCATGCCTGAGAAGGTGTCCTACCAACCTATCTCGCCTCTTTTTTATTGACTTCCATAGAGTCCTCTGTTCTCCTATTCTTTCTAATACCTCTTCATTCTTAACCTCTCTTTCCACGGTATCCTCATAATTCTCCTGTAACCATTTTTTTTCCGCAGCGCCCACCGTCCATGTTTCGCACCCGTACACCGCCGCGCTCCAAACATACGAGGGTGGATTGATAAGTTTCCGGCCTAACCAAGAGATGACGCCACTAGGCCTACCTTGAGGTGACATTCTATAGTACCATCCTTGGATAGCTTGTAGCTATAGTTTCAGCCCGATCTCCTTGCTAGTGTAGGTTTGACAGCACGCTGAACAAGACGCCTCTGTGGTTTTCGTAAAAATGGAAAAGCAGGAAAATCGTGCTGTCATCAAATACTTTTATTTGAAGGGGTTAACGCCGAAGGAAATTAAAAAAGAGATGGACTCAACACTGGGGACATCCTCCCCGTCATATTCAACCGTTAAGCAGTGGGTTTCCGAGTTTAAAAAGGGTCGTGTGAGCACCTCTGATGGGCCTCGCTCAGGACGCCCCGTTGAGGTCACAACTCCAGATATGATCGAAAAAATTCATCAAATAGTGCTGGGAGACCGCAGATTGAAAGTGCGTGAGATAGCTGAGACCTGTAAGATGTCATATGAACGTGTGCAACATATTTTGCACCAACATTTGCATATGGAAAAGCTCTGTGCAAGATGGGTGCCGCGTTTGCTAACAGTCGACCAAAAATTGATTCGAAAAAACATTTCTACCGCAAATTTGTCATTGTATAAGCGTAATCCAAGCGAATTTTTGCGTCGATTCGTAACCGTTGACGAAACGTGGGTCCACCACTACACTCCTGAAACCAAAGAACAGTCTAAACAGTGGATTGGACCAGGGGAACCAACTCCAAAGAAGGCAAAAACAATTTTTTCGGCGAACAAGGTTATGGCTACTGTTTTTTGGGATGCAAGAGGTATTATATACATTGATTACCTTGCAAAGGGTAATACTATCACTGGTCAATACTACGCAGACTTATTGCAACGTTTGAGCCACGAGGTGAAAATTAAACGACCTCATCTGGCGAAGAAAAAAATCTTGTTTCATCACGATAACGCACCAGCGCACACGTCAATCGTTGCGACGGCTAAAATCAACGATCTAAAGTTTGAATTGATGCCGCACCCTCCTTACTCTCCAGACCTAGCCCCGAGTGACTATTTTCTGTTCCCTAATCTCAAAAAATGGCTTGGCGGTAAGAGATTTGCGGACAATGAAGAAGTAATCGAAGCTGTAAATGGTTATTTTGAGGAGCTTGACGAATCAGTCTATAGAGATGGCATTAATAGACTGGAACACCGCTATGAGAAATGTATCAGCCTTGGAGGAGATTATGTTGAGAAATAAAAAAAAAAAATTTTTAAAAACCTTGTTTTTCTTGGTCAGGCCGGAAACTTATCAATCCACCCTCGTACATCTTTAACAATCTTTTTCGAGTTTCTAAATTAACCGTTCGCGGGCATAGAAGTGACTTCTTTTCATTGACTTTTCTCTCTCACATTAACAGTGCAATTTTTAACACGAGTCTTCCTTATTTTTAAACAACGATTATCTTTTGTTACAGTAATCAAAAATGAGGATAAAGTCCTCGGACTCGTCTGTCTACTTGAATAACGGCAACGATCCCCAACGCGACCTACTCAACTCTCCGAAACGTCTAAACACCATCCAGAACAGCAGAATAACTCCAGCAACCCGTCCCACGTCCTTTCTTCATCAGCTCAATAACGTGAACTCGAAAACTCCACAGATCATCCTCCCAGACGATAATTCCGCGACCACCAGAATTGGCAATCGTACTACCGCCGGTTTTCTGGGGGATGATCAAGAAAACGCGACGGCCGTCCTAACCGAGGTCCTGGACAAACGCATTTTGCGATGGTACAGCGACCATCAGGGCAGAATTGGAAACAATACGGCTCAAGAGAGAACAAACAACATCAACAATCTGCAACGTCAACGGCAACTCAATATAAATAACAACGTGCTGGATACCACCACCCCCATCGATGATTACGTCGCACCCTCGTCCATTTGTTCCGAATCACCCGACGACAGTTTCATAGATTACGAAGGTAGGATTTTGAAGGAATATCTTATTTGTAATAGGTACACTATTTAAGTATCGGTTTATTAATATGTAGGTTTTTCTATCCCTCGGGAACAGTTTTTTTTCTGAATAAAAAGTACCCTATGTCCTTTTCTGCACCCCTGACAATGAGTGTACAAAATTTCATGATAATCGGTTGAGCAGTTAAGGTGTGAAATCGTAGCAAACAAACAAACTCACATTTGCATTTATGATATTACTTATTATACTTAGGGATGCAAAATTAATTATTTTAACTCGATTGGCATTTAACGTTAACAAAAGTTTCACAGCTGCCGTAAAATTCAAAATTCGTATTAAGTTTTTACTCTCCGGTAACTAACAAAATCAAATAAAAACACTCCTCAAACTTTAAAGTAAACTTGAAGTAAAGTAGAAGTTCCCGATGTTCTCTCTCGATAGCTTTACTTAAGAGTAATAGTTTTGGTCATGTGGACAGTGTCATAAATTTTTCGATGTTTTTGGGTGTACTGCACACGTAGACACGTGTAGTTCTCATTTGATACCTACCCCTCACAAGTTACGATCGTATATAGATAAGGCAAAAAGTTCACCGAACATTGAAGTTACATATTTCTTTGTCGGCATTTTTTCTCTTTATTTAGCTCTAGCGAAAATGCAAAATTTAGGACATGTGCAATAAAATATTTTCTTAACCATGTCTATTTGAAAATATCATCAATCACCATGTCCTAAACTAATCGAACTATTGGAAACTTTTAAACAAGACGTAACATCTACCAAATTGCACTTATTGGACATTATTATGTATATCAAAAGATAGGGACAGTATTTGTACGAATTTTCTTATATCATATCGCATTTTTCAAAAAATGATCTCGCCCTTTCGATTCTCAATTCCCAACTAAGTGTATACTCAAACTCTGCAAGAACTGGAACTTTTTAGATACATATATTTTTAACCGTGTAACCGATCGCCCCGCACTCTTTTAATGAACATAGAATGCCTTCAACTTTATATATGGTACATGTACGTTAAACCTACGGATACACTACTTACCCTGAAGTATATACTCGGAAGGGTATTAGAAATTCCATTTCAAGATATAGGAAAAAATTCCATGCTAACATCTTCAAGCGAGGAATGGAAAATGATCTTCGTTCAGATAATAAGATAACAAATGAAGATGCTTTTATTTCAAAGATTATAAACGATATTTAAGTAAAATGAATGCAATTCAGCGGGGTAGATATGAACCACAAAAGTGATCGTGCTAGGTATTATGGAAAATAATACAAAAGAACAAAAATTCGTCAAAAATCAATAATCTTTGTGAAGAATAAGTATACCTACAAAATTTTAGAGTAAATTAGCTTCGAAAAAGATAATTAGTTCGTCGATAGTAATTCTTTATTATATCGTTGTAATTTGTTCAGTTACAATTTATTACGCAATTAATTTTGCTTTTTAATAACCCCCATGTAAGAACACCAACACTACTCTTCGTCCCCTCTGGAGGATATAAGTCCGAAAGAAAGGGAAATAGATGAAGAAGATGACGAAGAGGACGAAGATGCTTCAGCATCCGAGTCGTTTACGGGAAGTAATTTAAGTGTCCAAGCGGATGTGCAACTTCAACGTGGCGGCATTGTGAATCCGAATTATCCGGGCTTTCAAGATTTCGCAATCGACCTAGATTTCTACAGCAAAACTATTTCGGATACCGATCTAGTCGAGTACGAAACAATCGACGTCGCTGATAACAATACAGAAACAATAGAACATCAGTCACTTGTTAACAATAACAACGTCGAAGACAAAGACAAATCCATTGACGAAATTGCAAATTTAAATTGCTTGGACACAAACGAAAGCTTGCCGAAGGTTTTTTACGAAAAGGAAATTTTTAACATTCCTCCGGAAGAGAATTCCAGAATAAAGTCGAAAACTGACAGTGATTTTCAAGAAGAAAACACTCAACATGCTTCCAAAGTAGATGATTCTTTATTGAACCAAGTGACAGAACCTGAAAGAGATTGTACAGCTCTCATACGTTCAGAAACTTTTATATGCGACAAAAAAGCTTTAGTAGAAGAACTCTCCGAAGGTTTATCAAAACCATTAGGGGATTATTTAGAATCTGTTAAAAATACCGATCTCGAACTTAAAGAGGCTGCAGAAAAACTGCAAATTTCTGATAATCTCAAACCATCGGCCACGGTCTACCGCATTGAACCGAACATCAACGAACCTTTTTCTAAGAGTATTTCTAATCAGTCTACCACCATGGCTACCATGTCTATGATGAGACAATCGAATGACGAGCATTTCACCCAAGATGCGAAGTCCAAAGATGGAACATTGAAACGAAACACGATGGAGTTCATCCCCAACAAAGTGACCATTAGCGATTCTTACAAAACCAAGCTGGCTGACGCTTTTTTGTCAGGGACAGGGGATAAAATTCCTCAAGCTCCTGATTTCAGTAATCCCCTCCCAGATTATAATGCCAACAATAACGAAACTGTTATGGAAGTCGATATACCGTGGATTAAGAAAGGATTGGATTTACGATGCGGAAACTATCCAACCTTTGTAAATGAAGAACGAGAAATGTATAAAAAGGAGGAGCAGGTGTTTCAATTAGGAATAAATAGTAAAGGGACAAAATTTGGAAACGAACTCTATAGTAAATTACATCAAAAGAACGACGAACCCGTCATTCCCAGAAAGAAAGAAAAGGTCGAAATGGCGAAGAAAATAAAAAGAGACCATAATCAACAGTTTGGAAGTCTGATTACGGTTTCCAAACGAGATAATCCCGGGAAATCGCGGGAAAATTTAAATAGAAGGTCGACACCTGTCAGTAGAGAAAGAAAGAAAGTTGCCACTGAAAATCTGGGTAAGTTTTGTTTTCTGGTATAACCGGTTGATTCAAAAACTGTTGTGCTTGAAACAAATACAGCTACATAATTATTTCTTGAATAAACAAAATAATATGGAACGTAACTATCTCACGATTCTATATTCCTCAAAAATAAAAAGACCTATACATAATTCATCCAATCTAAGAATAGAAAAAGAATAATGTAGGTCAACTAATTAATCGCAGTATATTGTCAACTTTTTCCTGTAGCTTCAACTTTTTTGATTGTTATTGTTGAATTAAAAAAAATAATTGTCATCAAATCTCTATAATAGTAAATCGAATTAAAATTTCGTAAGGAATGGGATATTGCGTATAAATAACATTAGCTCCACTACTGCTTGGATTTATGCGGAGGATTCGTAATATTTTGCTAGAAAAGTTCACTGCTTTTGAGTCAACCGGATGGCTATTGATTCTAGAATTATAAAAGTGCAGGAAAAACAAAATGCTTCAAATTGCAGGCAACTTCGACGTTTACAATATCGAAACTGCAATGCCCACGATAGATTTAGAAGCTATTGAATCACACCTGAAAGCAGCTAGAGAGGAAGAAAGAAGGGTGAGTGATACAATAATTATATTGCTTTATTACTTAAAAACGCTTTTTTCAACTCGATGAAAAATTATTTCTTTTTTAATTTTACTTTTTCTATCGATTTACTGTTAAATTTCATCTACATGACCGCACATGTTTTATCGTTACAATGAAATGAAGTATTATGGTAAATAGCCCCAAGAGGGGGTGGTAAATCTATGGTATGCTTAGGCTTAGCGCCCAAGCAGTGTACGGCGTTAATTAGAAAATTATTTTATATGAAAAGATTACGTAAATTGTTAAAAGGTTCGAAAACCGTAACCCTTGAAAGGACGGTTACTTAAAATTTGTCTAAACCCTAGTAGGAAATGCCGGACTTGACAACAATATTGATCTAAATTTCGGTCAATTTTCAAATGCCACGGCTAGGTACATTTCCGTTTCGCCAAGTTTAGTCCAATATTGAGGCAACCAAGCATTGGGTTGTCAGTACTGGTCCAAAGTTCGGGAAATCATCTAATACCAAGGTTAGGTTTTAAACGTCTGGTCCAATATTGAGCAGTCAAGTATGAGTTTGTCAATACTAGATCAAAGTTCGATCAAGCTTCGAGTATCAAGATAAGGTATCTATCTAATTGTTTCGCCATATTCGACAATCCAATCTAGAATTACTTTTTTTCGCCAAGCCTTGACCCAATATTCGCTGCCCAATTTGGGTAAATATGGCAAATAATAAGTATTGGTCTAATATTGGCTGTACAATGTTGGTTTACTATTGTTCATCAGTCCAGTCGTAGTCCAAGCAATGTCAGCCAGGCTTGAGCTGGTGTCAAACTAGCCATTTGACAAGCTTGGTTCAGTACTGGTTGCCAATCTTAGACCAAAATTGAATAATCTAGACCAGACTTCGTCTTGTCATAATTTCCTACATGGGAAGGTGCCATAATAGGTAGTAAGGCTGGTACTGACGACAAATGTAATTGTAAGGGTTCCATTTTTGAAATTTAGCTACAGAATGGTAAAAATTGCAACTATATTCAGTAAAAGATAACAAAACTCGGGTGTTGAAGTTCCAAATAGTTCCTAAGGTCCTTCGCCTTCCAGTTTTTAGTCGATTCTATTTTTAGTTCTATAGTTTGGACTAAATTTGAGATCAATACTTTGAGAACGGTAGCTGTCTTATAAATTATAAACCAAATTGATTAAATTAAGATTATGCGAATCATACTCCTACTATTTTGTTTATTATCTTTAGTATTGCATCATTATAATTGCATGCGTCATCAAATCGTTGACAATGGGGGAATTGGAATTTCGCAATGAATTGTAAACTTAATTCTGTTCCCCATAAATCAATCAAAGTATGCCAAATAGCACAGTGTTAATGCACAAAATTATGTCTATTACGCAACTAGAAATAATTGTAATGGGAATTTTATCTTTTCAATTCAGTTTTTAATGTAGCGATTAACAATTCGATACACGTTATCAATGTTTATATGTAGGTATATAGTTATGGGTCGTTGTTTTATATTACATTTTGGATTTTTTTTTATGAATTCAATGGCCCCTCATCAAGTTAAGATATCGATTTGGCAATACATTTCATTTTTATCGCCTAATAAAATTTACCGCTCCAATTCCGAAGATAAACTTCATCCTCGTCTTACGTCGATGTTGAAGTGAATTTTATTTTCGTCAATGATTGACCCACATGTGTAAAAAGCGACCAAACAAAATAACGGATAATATATTTCATTTAACCAATTGCTTTACCTTCTTTCAACGTAGAAAAAAATGTTATTAGTATTTATAGCTTAAATCCTGAACTTTAATTTTCCTCGAGAATGGAAGATTTCAATTAAAAAATAGACAAATAGGCATACTCTCGTAATTTGAAAATTTAACGTTTTATAGTAGACATTTCAGCGATTATTTTCTAGTTTAAAACATTGTCCTAAGTAATTGTGGAGCCGAGACAGGTTTTTTTACCTGACTTAAAAACTATTCCTTTAGAGCCTATTTAAACAATTCATCATCATCATAAGGTCGTCAGTCCTAAGACTGGTTGGACGCGCGCCTCCGCTCATTCCTATCCTGAGCTAATCTCTCATTTCCCTAAAACTAGAACATCCCACATTCGTAACTATATGCGAACAGTAATTTAATATAGATCTACCTCTACTCCTCTTAACTCCTGTTTCTGCCTCTAATATGTCTCTAACTAGACCTTCATGCCTGAGAAGGTGTCCTACCAACCTATCTCGCCCATTTTTTATTGACTTTCATAGAGTCCTCTGTTCTATTCTATCTAATATCTCTTCATTTCTAACCTTCTCTATCCACGGTATCCTCATCATTCGCCTATAACACCACATTTCGAAAGCTTCTAACCTTTTCTTTTCCGCCGCGCACACTGTCCATGTTTCGCACTCGTACAGTGCCGCGCTTCAAACATACATCTTTAACAATCTTTTTCGACTTCTTTTTATTGATGCCGATTCGACTCTGCACTATCCTCTGCTTTAATCTTATTCTAATTTTTCGGCTCGTATCTTTATATTCGCTCTTTCCTTAATTTTTTCATCATTAAATTGTAGCTTTTTACAACTGACATGTAAAGTTTAAATTCTTAAGCTTATAAAGCACCTATTTCATTTTAGTGCCCAAAAACCCTTTTTTAAAATTTTTAAGTTGTTAATTAAACGATTGATCTGCTTATTAGTTTTGGAAGCAGTCGACGGTGTTAGGTACTGTAGTTTTCCTCAAATCATTTTCATTTATGTATTACCTCTTGTAATTTTCAAATTTTTAACAGAAAATCTCATCTAATTTATATCGAACGCGTCTAAAAGTGACGAGCAGTTAAACTTTTTGAATGTGCTTCGTATAATCGGTTGTTATCACCTATCGCACGACCCATGCATACATCTAATGGAAAAATGTAATGACAATAATAATAATTGATGTAAACACAGAAGGATGATGATGATATTACGCTTCTTGCGGATGTATTCGTAACATCAGAAAGCGGAGAGCGATTCAGATAAACTTTTAAACAAATTCTTGAGTGATACGAGGCCACTTGTGGCTTCAGTTTTATTTTTGGCCGATCGTTTGAATGTTTGACGTGCAAATTTTAAAATGTTGCAGAAACCAAACATTTTCGGCGTATTGTATATGTGCATACCTAACTTTTATAAACGACGCCTCTTCCACAGTAATGACATCATTTTAAATTAGAGCACAGTGAGCGTATTGTGCGTGTGATGTGTGAATCTACAAATTACGTACATTAATCATTCGTTTTTTTTTTTGTAATAATCGGTTTTAACGCGGTGCTTTTTTGTGAATCTTAAAACTCGATGGAGCCTTTATCTTCAAAAAGCTCCTATTATAAGTTCAAGGTAAGATTAAAAGCTGCGTGTGTTCGAAGATGTCACTTAAATTTGTTCTATATGCGCTGGTGGAAATGTATGTATAAAACAAGAGATTTTTTTATAATTTTGAAAACTCCTTTTAATCAACATTAAGTGATTCAGAAGTAGCTATTTATTAAACTTTAATTTACTGCAAATTTTAAATAATACGTTTATGCAGTCGGGGCTGCGAAAATGTTAAGGTAAATAATTTACATACTGTATTACTTTTATAATGGACAATATAAGAAGCCTTCAAAATGTGGCGTTATAGGCGAATGATGAGGATACCGTGTATAGAGAAGGTTAGAAATGAAGAGGTATTAGAAAGAATAGGAGAACAAAGGACTCTATGGAAGTCAATAAAAAATAGACGAGATAGGTTGGTAGGACACCTTCTCAGGTATGAAGGTCTAGTCAGAGACATATTAGAGGCAGAAACAGGAGTTAGAAGGGGTAGAGGTAGACCTAGGTTAGATTACTGTTCGCAAATACTTAACGATGTGGGTTGTTCTAGTTTTAGGGAAATGCGAAGTTTAGCTCAGGATAGGAAAGAAAATTATTTAAATTATTCATTAGGTACTTTTGTAATGAGTAATGTAAAAATGTCCATCAACCGTTAGTTTTACAATGAACATTAATTGATATATTTTTCATTAACCATTACTTTTGTAATTCTCAGAAACTCGAGCAGCCTACATCTTTAACTATTTGTGGACAGTAAGCTAGTCTAGGCCTGTCTCTACCCCTCTTGGCTCCTATTTTTGCTTCTAATATATCTCTAACAGTCCTTCATGTTTAAGAAGGTGTCCTACCGACCTATTTTGGTTATTTCTTATTGATTTCCATAAGGTCTCCTGTTCTCCTATGTATACCCTTTAGATTAAAATTATTAAGAATTATTTTTACTGCTATAAATTCTTGGACAAAATATTTCTCAGTTGATCGTCGCTTAAATCAATAATAGCCGAAACTAAAGGATTAAATAACAAACGCATTTTATTAAAAATTTAAATTGAAGATACAATATCTATCTACATCTTGGAGAAAAATCAGAAACAGTATACTTTTCCGAAGAAAAGCGTACCTACTATTCTAGAGATAAAAGTCATTTTATTCTCTTCAAATTTGAAATATGACCAACACGCTTGTGGAGTAACGATTGATCTCATCTTTGGATATTATTAAAAAAAATTACTCATTAAAAATGACTTCTTGATTGCATTATTTTAAACATAAAAAATATAAATCAAAATTAGTAATATTCGCACTAGAATTCGTTATTATTTACGGTTAGGTAGCTAAATACTGAGAAAAATAATACATTTTAATTTTTTTAATAAACAGTTTCAATTTTTGCTAAAGTTTACACTTTTTAATACTTAGACACGTGAATCTAAAACTGCAATATCTGCATTTCTCCAACTTCATTTTTAGTAAAGAAGTAGAGATAAGATAATAAGCAATTCGAATTGTCGATTTTCTTACATTAACTCTGAAGATGATTCCACTTAAATTTAAATTTATCCGCATACATTAAAAATTGCTTGGTGAATACTATTTTTTTTTCTTTTTGAACTTCTAAAGATAAATCGAAACGTTAGCGACCGGTTCCATTTAACCATATTTTAATGAACCGCAGAAATCCTCGGTGAAATAGTCGTATAATAAGTACTTAGTAGTACCTATGTACCGTGCATTCTTTGATGAGAATGTCCTTAGATGAGTTAAGAACCTCATTAAAAATCAACGAACACATAAGAGATGCTGCAGTGTGTTTGTACTACAATTTCTTCAGCATTAAATTGCTGACGCATCAATGTCAAGGTGGAATCTCAAACGCGTACTTGTGACAAAAAAAAATCAAGGTTGTCGCTAATGGTTAAAAGATAGTTCTCTATTGTCATTTTACCAACGAACGCCAGAAAAAACATAGAAACTTGGTCAATGTTAGAAAACTTGCTTCTTTTCATTCAATTTAAGGTAAAAACTATCCGAGTTTCCGGGCAGAGGGGGTGATGAAATAGTAAATTACGCACCAAGTGGCGAAAATGAACTGTATCATGACCTTCCGTGATATTCAAAAAAAAATCTTTGGCGGCCAGTAGGTAAACTGATAACGTTCAGATTCGAGTCTAAAAGTCGTCGTATGTTGAAGTTGCTTCCTGACGTTTCGTTATCACTGTCCACCTCCAGCAGATGGAAGGACCTCTGAAGAAGTCGCCACTCGTGCTGGCGAAACGTTGGGAAACAACTTCAACACACGACGGCCTGTAGACCCGAATTAATACAGCCTCCGTTCAGATATTATATTTTTTTTAGGGTTTCTGTACTACCTACATTTAAATTATATTAACATTCGACATTGTAATAAATAAACCTGATACCTATGTATTAGTTTCCAATTAATAGCAAAAATTTGAACCATTTTCCAATATTTTTGGGTCATGCGACTGATGAAAAAAAATAATAATTAACAGTTCAAAAACATGTTGTTAAGAGAGACCATTTTTCAGATAATTTGTAAATATTTTAGGATTTATAGTTAGTAAGGAGTTTGCGGTTTTTTATTAATTTAAAAGCAACTTTAGCTTTGTGACTGAATTGACTTTTAAGGGTTACGAAAACTTAAGATGTTTGCTCTAGAAATGTTGTAAATTATGCGTTTTGGTGTACAACGTTACCATTTCTACCTATGAGGTGTAATATAGTGTCGCCTAAAGTATTCTTAACAATTTATTTTAAAGTAGCCACCGTTTGAAATCAAGTACAAGAAATACATTTTTTTTTTTGAGGAATTGAACATAAATTTCGTCAAGTCAAAAAATTAGTAGATTTTGTTAGAGTTTATCTTTTCTTTTTTGTTAAAACAGGAACACTCAACAGGCTTCATTTAGACGCAATTTTTCATTTTGAACCTCCATTTCCGAAATATTAAATTTCAAAGTCTTTTTTAGTGTACCCATGGCCCGCTACTTACAAATATTTTTTTTGGCAAACTTATTTCAAACGGGCGCCTATCCTGATTTAGTTTTAGAGTTTTTCGAGTTTTTTTTGTTTTAATTTTTTGGGCTAGTCAGAGGCATATTAGAGGCAGAAACGGAATTTAAGAGGGGTGGAGGTAGGCCTAGATTAGATTACTGTTCACAAATAGTTAAGGATGTGGGCTGTTCTAGTTTTAGGGAAATGCGAAGTTTAGCTCAGGATAAGAAAGAGTGGATGTGCGCGTCCAGCCAGTCTTAGGACTGACGACCTTATGATGATCAGAGTTTTTCAGTTAGGTTAGGTAAGAACCTTATATCTCTATTTTGAAAAAAAAATCCGTTTGAGCTGTTTGTTCGAGTGTTGATAGTTTTTTTCTCCGAAGGCTGCAGCATTGCTGTCATAATTATTAGATGATTTAGTTGACACACACCCTGTATATTTCTTGTCGCTTTCTTCATCAATATACTCAGTATTATCTCTTCTTCCCACAATTGCAGAATCGAATCGAGGTCGTCATCCTACTAAAGTCCGTAAATGAAACAAAAACATTAACGTAACAATGCCGTTGTTTTTACGCTCATTAGGAAATATGTAGGATTTCAAAATTAAAATCGATACGCTCTCTTGCATTCTGTTTCATTTGATTTTTACGCGAGTTGCTGTTAACTTCACCTTTCTAATAACGGCGTGCGAAATTTCGTTCGGCGTTTTACTAATTAAGAGTCCCGTATTTTTCGAAATCGCTTTTAAAAGAGTGCAGAAATAAGCGCGATTTTACCCCGGATAAACTGTCGTTCAATTGAAAAAACGATTTGTTCGATGAATGTTAGTTCTAACAAAATGTACACAACTTCCGCTCAATCAATTGTTTTTTAATAAGGCTACGTTGCTACGTGATTCTTTCGCTTTTTTTTGTGCGCCAACTTGTAGCACCTGCAACCAACGTTTTGGTTGAAATGAAATGTGTTTTTCGACAAGTGCGCGTTTGTTATTTTTTTTAAACAGTGAGTTTTAAAGTATTGTCTTTTTAGAATGTCCACCTTAAAAAGGTCAAGACATTATAAAAAGGATACAGTGTACTTAAAAGACTTATATACCCTTACATTCGAAAATAATGAAACACTAGAAAGTTTATCAGAAATTGTAAGTAAAAACAAAACTTTTCTAGGTGTAGTATTAACAGAGCTGGGCAAAGAGCTACGTAAAGCACTTACTTTAAGTGTTTTAGCTTTCTTGAAGTCCCAATTACTTTTTAAAATTCAAAGACTTCAAATTATTAATTAATTCGCAAGCAATTTGATTCAATTTTCTAAGCAGTTTGAAAGTGCTTCAAACACCTTGAAAAAGTTTGAAGTGCTTTAAATTGCAAAATACAAAATATTTTTATAAAGTAAGTAATTCGTTTACCAATCCCCAACTATCTACCCACAAAAGGACTTGAATTACAGTGCTTGCAAGCCTTGAAAGACTGAAAGCACATTTTCAAGCACAAAGCTCTGCCTAGCTCAGAATATTAATTATACTTCTTGCGCGTTGTATTTCAAATTAATGACTATTTTCAATGCACTTTTAATTTTTATTCAAACTTGTGATGCTTGTTACTGTATTGTAGATTCGTTCGCTATAAATTATTTAATTATTAATTGATTATTTATATTTGTTATCTTATTTTATTATTGCCGAAATGTGATACCAAATAAAAAATCGTATTAAACAGTTATTAAAATACTGTACATTCACTAATATTAGTTAATTTGAGGATATGTAGTATTGTTTTTATTGTTTGGCAATGACCAACATTTTGTTGTGAAAAAGTAGCTAATTACAAATTTCGCAAAAGAACTTCATGGATACGTGGAATGAGACCTTAGACACAATTTGTACTCTGTCGCAACTTGAGACAGAACCGACATTGATATAACATTTCTTTTTGTTGTGTACATGTGTACGTGATTACTACAAATAGTTTTATTTTTGTCTCTTTCTCACTTCAAAGTTCACAAATAGTTCCACTTCAGTTTAAAGAAAGTTCGTTAAAAAATGGGCCACCATTTATAATATTGTGTTTGATAATTTTATCGAGTATCCTTTTTGGTTTTTATAGTGAAACTGTTGCTCAAAATGTGTGTGATATTCGCAAGTGTTTAAACTTTTTTATACTCAAAATGTTCGACAATTTCTTCAACTCTATAAAAAATTCTACTAACAATTTTAACGACAATATAAAATCAAAATCTAAGAGATTTATCCAAAATTTACAATCATTCAAAAACAGAATAACTGCTAAAGATAAACCGTCCAGTTATTATACCATTGCCCCCAGAGAAGATCACGAGTATTACAATAATGATTATTTATCTCCTCGAGCTTTTTATGAAGTAACTTTTGATTTGAATTCTTCGACTGTGATAGAGAATATGGAATGGGTTCCATACATTCCTCCTAAATTAGACGAACACAATATCGTAGACCGTTTTATAAAAGTTATTACTATCAATGATGATACTAATGTAAGAATACTTTAATTTGTAACTATAGCTTTTAATGCTGAGGTAAATTGTTACAGAGAAGAACAGATAGAGAAGAAATAAGGAGAAGGTTAGCCATGGGTGCTGAAGAAGACTATTTCAGTGATCGGCCAGGCAAAAAACCGAGTTTGCAAGCTCGACTACAAAGTGGTAAGTATACCACTAAAGCTAAATTTGTTTTACATTATTTGATTATATTATAAAAGCCTATTGTTACTTCTTGTTTCAGGCATGAATTTACAAATTTGTTTTATGAATGAAAATGTGTCTGACACGGAAAGCCCCAATTCTGACTCAGAAAACCCTGTGACAAATTCTAAGGAACATAAGAAAAGCCCTCAGCTTAAAGGGCCTTCAACAATGCTCTCTAATAATAATTCATCACAAGCAGTGAGACCAGCCACATTGGCAATAACTGAATCTCAAACATTAGCATCACCTGCATCACAAGAGTCCGAAAGTGAAGGTGATTTTTTTACAAGACAAGCAAAATTACAGACTGAAGCTCGCATGGCACTTGCTCAAGCCAAAGAAATGGCCCGAATGCAAATGGAGGTAGTCAATGTTACAATTTTATTCTTTTTGTGTTTACTTAAGTTTATGTGATTTCTTTACCAGTTGGAAAGACAACACCAAGTTAAAAGTCCAATAACTGAAATGGTTAGAAATAGTTTAGAAAAAGTGGGGATTCCCTTTCCTGAAGAGAAACGAAGACTTTCCCGACAAATACTCACTGAAATGAATATTGCCCAGTTGCAAGTAATTGTTAATGATCTGCACACCCAAATTGAAACGCTCAATGAAACTTTGGTCAAATTTCTAATGGAAAGGGATGATCTTCACATGGAGCAAGATTCAATGCTTGTGGACATTGAAGATCTTACACGATATTTGTAAGTTCTATTTTAGAAACAATTTTCCTAGTCTACTTCCCTTGTGGCTAATATTTACATGCATGGGGATTGGTGTTTTAGCTCGTTCATTGATTAATGCATTCAATTTTAAGTCATTTATATTTTAAAGCATTGGTGTTTAGTCAAACTTTGGTGTGCCTCTCTTACTCTGGGAACTGTTATCTCGCTATGGTTGTGCATTTAGTTGCTACATATAAATAATACGCATGAGGTGCTGGCTAATAGTTGCACTAGCTTCATTGCACGGTCATCCTTTGTTTATAGCACAACTTCTTAAGTTGTCATTTTCTCAGGAGTGCTAAAGTTAGTCATGAATACTCACATATTCACAATTGTAACAAATGAATTAATGTAAATTTTAATTATTTAGCAAGTATTTCCTTCGCTTTTTACAATCCTCTTCTAAAAGGTATTATAGACATATTGAGGTTTCAGATTGTTATTATATAATAAAATGCTATGTCTGTAGAGAAAATGACAATTTAAACTTACATAGTTTAGCTATACTCATATCACAAAAGAAGAAACTGAAGTGCCTTTAGTGTAAGTGCTGTAATACATGCTTTGAATGCTTATTGTGTGATTTAATGTGTTGTTTTAATCATATTCAGGGTAAGTAAAATCATTTTATACTGTGCATAAGTTATTTTTTTTTTTGTAACATAGATGGTGGTGGAATCATTTTGTACTTAGGTATATGTTTTACTTTAACCGTGCATGTCTTTTTTCCCTTTTCAGCGAAAAATAGGTTGGTATGTTATTTTGTAGGGGTGCAAAGGAACAAACATTAAAAGAGCAAAACGGACTTCTGGGCAGTCAAGGGAGTCGGGGTGCGTCACCACCGTCCCCTGCACCACCGTCACCTCCCCGCTCGCCCTTGGCCGCCTTAAATAGTGTCAAACCTCATCTACACCGGATAGCCAGTTTCGTAAAGAAGTAATAATAAATACAAAAAGATGATGTTACAAATGGCTATTCTTCAATCGAGATTCGTACTTAAAGTCCACGTCTAAATACGCTTCTCTAAATTATCTGTAAATATTCCTGTGTACATTATTTAATAATTTAGAAGATTTACCCTTATTATAGTTGACGCAGACGCAAAAAATACGTGGATTTGAATCTCCAAAAGAAAAATTAACAATTTCATAAATGAAACGAACTGTTGAAGGCTTAATAATTACTGATACTGTAATTATTTCTTTAGATATACTTTTTGATATATTTTTACCATGTACGATACAGTTTTTGTGCCTGCGCTCTCTGCAATTTTAGTTTCTTTTTTTCTTTTCAACAGGCTAGTTAATCTAGCGTTTAAATGGTTTGTTATTATTATTATTATTTATTATATTGCATCGTTGCATATCAAAAGGAAATAGACATTTAACGGTAAAATTGCCGGAAATGTCGAAACTGTTTGTATTTTAAAAGCAAGTAAATGTTTCCATTTTCTCGTGAATTCTAAAGATAGAAATTTTCAGTAATTATAGCCCTTATTACATTATACTGAATATACAGGGTGTAGGTCGATATTGTGAATTAGTACGTTGATCTCTTAAGCGTCACACTTTTGACCATCCTGTATATTTGTTTGTATTTTTCAACTGTAGGAATGAATGCATCAAAAATATTCTTGTAAATAAGTCCTAATTATGTAGTAAAAGAATTAAAAATTGCAATAGGCACTTAACTGTTTGTGATGTTATATAACATCCCACTTTTTTAAATCCGACTTTTTAATGTAATAAAAATAATAACTGACCTTGACTTATCTTAAGAAATTGGTTTTTAAGAGGAAATTGTAAAATTCCCTGTTTCCAATTACTCAATTATTCAATATTAGCAATATCTACATATACATTTGACTGCATTTACAATTAGTAATTTAAATATTGTTATATACCGTAGTTTTTTATGTCATTTGTAACTGTAGATAAAAGAATACTAAGCGCATAAATTTGTAGTTCAATTTCATAGTTAAGTAATTGGAAACATTGTTTTCACATTATTATTGAAATATCCCTAATTAAAACAGGTTAAAAGCGAGAACTAGTTTCGCATTTTTCATCATACATGCTTAGGCTTGTATAGACAACTTGAAAAAGTTCTCAAATATTTAATTTAACTCTTGTATGTTTCACGTCACCGACATTCCAATTAAAAATTATACTGTAAAAATAGAATGATTTCTATCGAATAGGTACGTAAATATGTTTGCTGGCTTTTTTCAATCTGAAGCAGTTTCAGAATTGACTATATTTCGTTACTTCAACGAAAGTGAAAAGTTTGTATTACTCTAAGTTTATATTTAATTTCTTTCTGTTTGTGCCATGTTGTGTATACTTAAATAAATAAAGCTGTAGAAATGTATATGTATTACATTGCGTTACTTGTTTTTTTTTGATAAGGAATAGGAACAAAAAATGAAAGTTCAAAAAACAGTAACAAAGCTCTTATTAATACTTCTTAAATTAACACCTTAAGTTACAAATATGTACTATATTTAAAGATGAAATTAAATACGTAGATTCGTAGAACAGCAAATAAAAAATTATATTTACTAAATATTTTAAATACAGAAAAAATTGAAATTTGTTTCGTTTATAAATATTTTCCATCACATAGTCTTAGTATAGCGAGGGTGTTATATTCAATTTCGAGTAGCGGTTTACTTTTTCCTTTGGCTGCCACCACCAGCGAGAATTGTTGCGATTCGGACGAAAATGTTGAGTGCATCCATATAAATCGACAATGCACTAGATAAGAAAACAATATGTATTACCGCGTTGTTCAAACGAAATGATATATATGGTTTTAAACTTATTCGCATAATTAATTACTTACGCATTTATGGGATCGTATGGTTTGACTCCATACATTCCGGGAGACAGGGGATACCGTTCAGCTTGTGCAACTATCCTTTGAGTATCGTAGAGTAAGAAACCAGAGAATAACAAAAGGCCACCATAAAGGGAAATTGAATAAAGTCCGGCACCAAGAGCAGTGGTAGGGGGTAGAAAAGCACTACCTAGTGATGCGCAAAAAACTACGCCTAATCCCATAGCTAAGGGGCCACCCATCATTAAAAACTTTTCAGAAGGTGCACATGCCTAAAACAAACCAAAAAAGTTGTACCTAAAATTTACTTTGTTACTAAACTTTCATTCTTAATATCTAGAAAATTTTCCAGTTTTTTCTACAACCTTTTTATTTGTTTCTTCTTTTTCAGAATTCGCGGTAGTGTTTGTGGTTCATAAGACACTCAGTGTGTAATAAGTGCAATATACTGAACAATCTTTTAACATTTGTGTTTGTGTCCACCAACCACAAGAAATGATACTGCTTCAAAATGGTGAGTCTTTTTTATCTTTTTCTTTTATTAGAGAACCAAAGTAATATAATGAACAATGGGATTTCCCGTTTGAATAATTATTAAGCCGCGTAAATTGGCAAATGCGATTATTGTGCTATAATATTACATAGAATAAGAAAAAAATGGAAAGTAAAATAAAAACTGCAAACTCACAGAAAAATAAGTAACAAATGAGATTGCAATTACCAGTATTAAAGAAAATAAGAAAATCGACTTACAGAAACTGCACTCAGCCCACCAACAATCCCTGCTGAATACAAACCAGCACGCATTAAAATAGGCCCCCCTAGAAAACAAAGTGGTGCCAACATGGCTCCCATAGTGCCTGCATGTAGCAACCAAGCCATTTGCTTTGGTCCAAAGCCTGGCTTATATTCTACTGATTGAGCTAACATACCAGTGACATGAACCAAAAACTATTCCATGGTTTTGTATTGAATGATACCTTTTGATTGAGCTAACATACCAGTGACATGAACCAAAAACTATTCCATGGTTTTGTATTGAATGATACCTTTTGATTGAGCTAACATACCAGTGCCTATAATAGCTGCCATACTCATCATTATTCCCTAAGAATAAATAAAATGCTTTATATTAATATAAGAATTACATAAAATGCAGGTCCATACCATGAAACCATTTTTCATAACAAGATTCATGATTGCTGGAGTCCTAAATGCAGCTATAGCACTAGTGGCTGTAACAATCAATGAACCTCCAAAATACATATAGACTGATGTAATACGCTCTCTAACATATTGTGGCCAAACCCTATAGATGACATTAACATTACTAATATTATTTACCAAATCAACACATCAAAACAAAACTTACATGGACTTATCCAAGGCACCAGCTTGACCAGATAAACCCAATCCATAATAGCACAATGCACCAAGCCCTACTACTGCACCCCCAGCTACAGCTCCTTTTCCAATATTAAATGCTTTAAAAGATGCATAATTCTTTATTAATTCATTAAAGCAAATTGCTTGAAGTTCAAATCACATGAATATCTTATTGCAAATAGTAATTACAGGAACTTTCTTAGTAACACAATATATCAATTCATCGTTATAAATAATTTTGGTCTAAAAAAGAATAAAAAATTACCTGTGCCAGTAGGTTCTGCAAAAGCACGTTCGCGAATTGTTCGCCTTCTAGCTGTTCTTGTAACTGTCTCGCGGTTTTCACTAGCAAACGTTCTGGAAAAAGTCTGTCGAGAGAATTTCCCAATATGTGCTAATTTCAAAGTATTACTACGGCATAATCTTCCAACTAGTAAAGTGGCCATGTCGTATCCTAATAACACAAAAATTACAAAATGAGAAATATTCTGCAATGCTGTTATAGAATTTTTGCTGGAAAATTCCAAAGTTGAGGTTATATACGAAATATATAATTTTCTCGAAAGAAAAGTATTTCTTTAATTAAAAGCGAGGCAGAACTTACGTTAATAATAAGTATAAAATTATTAAAACTTGTAATTTTTATGATGTAATTTTTTTAAAACGTTTATGTAGCTTGTATACTTCTTGCCACTCGTAGTGTTTATGTTATTATTGACATTTATTTGTTTTATGACTTCAAGGCCTTCTGCTTAAACGTCATTCAGCCATATATCCAAGAAAAAATAAATGTACAGATTGCGGTAAAAAAATTGAATCTGATTCAGGAACTTATTGCTCAATTAAAAATTCACATCAAAAAGTTCTCAAAAAAAATCATCACTATATTTTAAGTTACGGTCATGTTTAAAATGTTTATTTACATTTGCACAATTGCCTATTACATCATTTAAACTATGGTATACTTTAATATACAGATCTTACTTAAGCTTTGTAAAACCACATAAAGTCAGATAATTGATATATTAAATAGTGAGAAACAACAAATCTTTAAAAACCACAATTCATTAAAAATATTAGATACTTATTAACGATACAATACAATTTCATAGTTAAGTAATTGGAAACATTGTTTTCACATTATTATTGAAATATCCCTAATTAAAACAGGTTAAAAGCGAGAACTAGNAAATTCGCTCCTTAGAGAGTAGTTCAAGCCAGTTTAAATTTGTATGATATAAAAGCGCAGCGGGCGGAAGAAAATGGGTTTTTGTAAAATAGAAGGATATGACTCATATTTACAGTATGTATGTTCATTTCAAAAGAAAAAAACAAAATAAACAGTGTATTTATACATATTTTGTTAAAAAAAAGTAAAACAAAATACTGGAATGTTATCTAATCAGGATATATCATGGTAATTATTTCTTGCATAAAGAAATTATATGCATAGTTGATCGTTAGGAGGTACAGTTTTACAGACACAAATTTATTTTCTATTAGAAGAAACTTAATACACCATAATGTACACTGTCTCTGTCTGTTGTTCAAATACTTACACAAGGGATGGATATTGTTAAATAACTTTTTTAAAATTGTTTACAACAAAACAGTCTTAATATCCACTAAATTCAATATTCTCTAATTATTAAATTGATTAATTTCTAATAACATTCGAAATAATTAAACACGTATTTAGAAAAAAAAAACATTTTTCACTGATACAATCTGTAACAGACATTAACAAATACCTACTTCAATTATGATGTCAATTTTTCTAATAGGTACGACATTAAACACTTTTAATAATAATAATCTGAACCTCCTTCGATATCTTTTTTATCACATTTTTTAAAATAATCTGATAATAAAAAATAGATCACAGACTTGTAAGTTATCAGCTGATGTTTGCTAAGTAACAAACTAGCAATGACAATACTAAATCGCTCTCACTTTACGCCTCGACGTTTGTACTTTGTCGTCATAGTCTTGAGCTTTGATGTATAGCAGAACACCCAAAATAACTACAGTGGTACCCAAACCACTGAGAAGCGTTACAGGATTCCCGAACATCAATACAGACAGCCATATAAGGAATGCACGTTTGGCAGTGTTTGCAACACTAGAAAATTAATGAATTATTTGCAAATTAAGAATAATATAATATTTCATAATACAATGGGCCTTGACACAAGTTGTTTAAGGTAATCATCCCTAAAACCGATTAAAATCCAGTAGATTCAATATTTTTTTATTATAAAATTCGAGTTCTTGAAGTAAATCATTAAAGAACATTTCTTAGTTGATATCTCAAAAACAGCAATTTCTAATTTTTTCATTTACTTATTATTCATCAGCAGACTTTTTTTATTTTATGAAACCAAACTGTAAAATATTTTGAAATGAATTACACTTAATCTTAATAAGTCTATGATGCTAAGTGCTTTCTATTTTTTAATTAACAAACGCGTTTGTACACAAATAGTAGAATTTCTCTGAAGTGTCTTTAATTATTCTATTTTATTCCATTTGAACGGATCTGCTGTGTACGTGCCTAATTAGAAAAATTAAGAAAATAATGAAAAATCTTACCTGTGAGTCACTGGACTAATGTAGTCCATAAGAACATATGCAGTAATACTTTGGAAATGAAAGAAAATGCCATTTAATATGTAGCAAAGTATGATGCTTACATCAATCTTTTCTGCATTATCACTTAGATCAACCAATAGTAGAGACATTGGTATCTGAATTACAATGCTAGCAAGACTAGTGTAGAATTGAAGTTCTGCTGGGCTTAAATGCAAATACATTTAAATGTGTTAGACATTTTACCTCATAAATAATTCTTTTTTACCTATACTTGAATTTTTCTCCAGATAACAACATCTTTGAATATACATTTTGTAAACACTCTGTTAAATTTGTTGCCATTGCTGCTACAAAGCCATGCAGTTCAAAACTAATTTCATTGGCTGAGCATAGAGCAAGGCCTGACATAACTGGTACCAAACTAAGATTTACAAAAAGGCCTGTTTGCTCTCCTGTAATCAAATATAATCAAAGATAGAAAAAGGAATAGTGAAAGTATGATCTCACCTAATAAACATCTTGATATTACCACAGTGAATAGTGGTGCTGAGCTTTTAATTGTTTCTGTAAAACTAACTGCTACATAATTAAGGGAAACCAGTCCCAAGACTACAGTGAGAAATCTAAAAGATTTTTTGTAATTTGTTTGTAAACAAAATTGGTTAATAAATTTTGTGAAAACACTTACCTTGTACAACCTACTAAAATCATGTGCCTATAAAATCCTGGTGGTCGATTAAGCCGTTGAAATGGTTTGTACATTCCACAGGGAATATACATTTGAATAAATCCACATGCTGTTGTCATTAACATTTGACAAGCACCTACAATTAATTCATGTAAAAAGTTTTACTGTACTGATACACTAAATGACAACAAAAATTGGTGTTATTCACTTTTAAAAACTTACCTAGGACAGTAGGATTTCCATTAAGATATGTTAGAATATATTTATTTAGAAATAGAGTGCATCCACTAAAGATGTACCATAAAATCAAAAATACTATTGCTCTTACATTCATGAGCCCATCTTTTTTGCCATCTTGAACTACTGCATTATTTTCTTTACGTATTATAAACGCATTAGAATTATTAACATTATTAGAATTCATATGAATGAAAGAATTTTCTGTTTTCATTGTTCCTGTATGTTGCAGTCAGTAAGTTACACTTTATCGTACGATTGGTTACGAATTACTTAACTTTTATAATTTGGCTTGAAATGAGTTACTTTCTATTGCACAATACCATCCATTTCATTAAATATGCCACATTTATACTGACTTCTTGACATTTAAATTTTATGCTGTTGTAAACTAAATTTTTCTCACCTAACCCTATTTCCTGTATTTTTAATTTTCTACAACAAAAACATCCATTCTATGATCCCGTCAACTTTCACAACAGAGATAAAGAAGTGATTAATGGTTCGCGAGTTGAGTTATCAGAATCGGTGTAAAATTTACAAAAAGGTTAGTTTGTGCAATCTTTGCAGTTTAACTACATCTATATTTAATTAAAAAATGTATTCGAAAAGTTTTGCCTGATATTTACTTTTAAAAAATTAAGATTTTATAATTTTAGTAGTGTAGTACTTTAGACAGAATAACCCTGCTGTCAGTTGTTTGAGATAATCTATGGTTTGAGCAGGTTTGAGGTTAAAAGTGTAACAGTGAAAACAGTTCGATTTCTTTAAAATTAATTAAAAGATACTTTATACGTATAATTCAATAAAGGCCGCCGTGAGTATGTCGAGAGCTTCTGCAAGGTTTGATACTAAAAAAGTTGTACGTAACATCAAAAAACATTGTCAAAGTTTCTTCAAATAAATAATTGTAGAATTCAGAACTGGTTACTCTTACTTATGGGGCTCTTGTTGCACAAATGGTGAAAGATTTAGATAGCACAGAGGACGTAAATAAGCAATTGGAACGAATAGGTTACAATATGGGTATAAGAATTGTGGAAGACTATTTGGCTAAAACAGGCACAGGTCGTTGCTTAGATCTAAAAGATACTGCAGATAAGATTCAAAGTGCTTTCCGTATGTACTTAGGTGTACAGCCAAATGTTGTAAATTGGAGTCCTGGTGGGGACGAATTTTCTTTTTTATTAGACAGTAATCCTCTTACTGATTTGGTAGAGTTACCTGAGGATCTCAAAAATTTAAAATACTGTAATATTATATGTGGTGTAATTCGTGGTGCACTTGAAATGGTGCAATTGGATGTTCAGTGTTGGATTATTCAAGTAAGAATATATGCATAGGCAATTTTGGCACATTCATAAAGACTTTTGCATTCAATTAATTCAATTTAGATTAAATATCTAGCCAGTAAACTTAAATGATACTTATTTAAGTTACTTTATTTATACAAGAATTAAAGTAACTTTTTCTTCAGTATGTCTATTTTTTTAACTCATGTATTTTTGAAAATTAAAAAAACGAAAATTTTACAATTTTCAATATGTTGAAGACACTAAAAAACACACCTGCAGTGATTTTATTCATTAGAAAGTCAATACTACTTTAAAAATATTGGATGTAAAAGGTTCTTCCAATTCATATGAATGTGCCACTGGCTACTAGCTGGACAAATAATATTACTGCAAGCTATAATAAGCAAGAAAGCAGAGAATTAATGGGAAGCTTCTAAATACACAATATCTTTTAGGATATTCTGAAAGGTGATGCTAACACTGAAATTCGAGTTAAATTTATAAGGAAATTAGAAGATGCCATTCCAGCAGGAGAGGAGTAAACAAAGTAGAATGAAGTAAATTTTTACTGATTTATTTATAACTTACAATAAATATTTAAGCTACTAATACAAAATCAACTGTTTCCTAAACTATACTTTGGAAACTGGACTGCATGTTCTATGAACTTTGCCACTGCCAAAAGCATTGGTTCACTTAAATTTCTCCCCATTAGTTGTAAACTTATTGGCATTCCAACCCTTGATAATTTTATTGGAATTGTAACTGCAGGGATACCTTTAAAAAAAGCATTCCACATTTCAATTATTTTATAATGAAATTCAATAATTTACCTGCCATGTTGGCTGATTGAGTGCAATAATCTTGATATGCACATTGATCTCTATTTGTTTTTTTAATAAATTCGCTGTATAATGGAGCGGTTGTTAATGTTGTTGGTGTTAGAAGAATTTGAACTTCTTCCCAGACTTTATAAAAATCATTTACAATAGTACGCCTAACTTTCATTGCTTTACTAAAATATTTTTCATAATTTCTGAAAACAAGTATTAAATATTAGTACTGTTTTACTTTTGATCTTTCGAAGTAAAAGTACCGGGTTAGAAGAAAGTAATTTCCAGCTAAAATACGGTTTCTAACTACTTCATTAAATCCTTCACTCCGTGTTTGTGTGAATAATTTCTCAACAGAAGAGTTTTCATTTGCTCTATAACCAAATTCTATGCCATCATAACGAGCCATATTGCTCTGAACTTCACATTGATTAAGAATAGAATAACACACAATGCTGTACTCGGTATGTGGTAAAGAAACCTACAAAAATGAATCAGGACTTTATTCTAATATACTTTCATATTAAAGATTAACATTGGCTGTAATTAAAACAATTTTAATATTTACTTCCTTAATGTCTGCACCACTGTCTTCCAATAAATTTGCCACCTCATTCCATGTGTCAAGAATTTCATTACTTATTCCTTCACAGCAATACTCCTTTGGTATACCAACTTTTAAATTCTTAATACTCATTTGTTTAGCAGGTGGCAAACTGAAAGGATTTTCAATTCCAATATAATTTTCTTTAAAAAAGAATGTTTTAATCTATGCTCACACAATTTTCCTATGGGGTTTGGGGCAGGTTGTAGAATCATTATGATCATGACCAGCAATTACATTAAGAATTTGAACACAGTCATCGATATTTCTTGTTAAAATTCCAGGAACATCCATTGAATTCACTAAAGGAATTAAACCATATCTTGAAACAAGGCCATAGGTAGGTTTTAGGCCAACAAGTCCACAGTAAGATGCTGGGTTTCTTGTTGAGCCTCCTGTATCTGAACCTAATGCTCTACCAACTATATAATTTATTTTGTCTTAAAAATACTAGAAAACCAGTCTCACCCAAAACATGTCCCTGTTGCAACAGCCACTGCACTTCCACCACTACTTCCTCCAGCAATATAAAAGTCATCATCTTCTTTAAAATTCCATGGGTTTTTTGCTGGTCCATATATTGAATCAACAGTTCCAGATCCCATTGCAAACTGATCCATGTTAGTTTTTCCAACAAGAATTGCTCCTTTGTCTAATAATCTTTGATACACAGTTGCATTGTAAGGAGGAACAAAATTTTCTAACATTTTTGAAGCACAAGTTGTTTTAACGCCTCTTGTGCAGAAGTTGTCTTTGAGAGCCACAGTAATTCCCTCTAATTCTGATTGATTGTTTTCTCTACATCTTTGCTGCGACCGTTCAGCTTGTGTTTTAGCTAATTCATCAGTAACACTTATAAAAGCATTAAATTTTTTTGTTTTCCTTATTTGTGATAAACATGCATTTGTTAAATCAAGTGAAGTTATGGTTCCGTCCTGAATAAGTCTTGAAGCCTACAAACAAATTGTTTTAATTAAGGTATTATTTGAAACTCAAAAGTAACTTTTACAGTATTTATGCTTGATAAAAGTAGCTTATCCATTTAAATTAATTTTAAATTAAAAGGCAACTTATTTATAACCTGCATAACCTATTTGTTCTTTTTCTTATGTTTCTTCTTAAATTGTTGATATGGATGTGGCTGAAGTATGTGTGTACGTAACTTGTAACTAATTATCCGAATCTGTACAATACATTAGACACTGTCACACAGTATTTACTTTGTGATTATGTATAAAGGTAATTTTCTTAAGAAAATGGAGTTAATTATAATTTTTATACACAAAAGTAAAACTAAAGAACTTATAAAAAAGAATTTGTTGGTCACTTTTTTGGTAATGTCTGACCAATTGGAGTCGGTAACAAAAAGAAAGCATTTATATGTTATATGTACATATATATAAATTATTATGCTATTTTCGCTATTATTATATTAATTAAACATATTCCTTGCAAAAAAGGGACCTATCTCGATCTGGGTTTACTTAATTATTAAAAGTTGTATTTATATCTGAATAGACATTAATTTAAGTAACTTTCAGTCTTAACTTTTTGAAACTGGTAAGGTAAAAACTGGGTCACTAAGGTTTGTAATCCTTGTAAAAACTAGGAGTTTCACAAAGATATCATAGTTTCTTTTTCGCTTATTGAACTATTTCGTATTATCAATAGCCTTCAGGCTTTTATTATTTGTTTATTAGTGAATCATATCACGATTATCCTTATCTGAAATGGAATTAATTTTTATCAAGGTACCTTATTCGTATATTGAAGCGCCGCCTTTACTCTTATCAGTATAAGTTCTTCTTTTAGCGAGTAACAATTTGTGACTTTTGATTACGATTTTTAAAAATGACCGGGTCTATACCCGATAGAAAAGATATTTCAAGGCACATAACTACCCTAATACTAACAATTCTCACAGGCCTTTTTATTTTCATTTCTTATCACGTACTCAGTGGTGTGGAGCCTACTTTACTGCATTGGCATGTTTTTTTAGCAACTGGCGCTGTGAGTAACTTTTAGAATCATTATTAATTATATAAAGTACTTAAAAATTAAATAGTTTTATGGAAAGGTAGAATTTTAATGTAAAGTTTATAGAAATTTAATATCTCAAATGTTAATTCCTAAATTGAACAAAAAATATATAGTAATATTTTTCGTTTCACGATTATTTTAGAAACTTTTGTTTTAGTACGTTTTCGGAAGAGTCAGTTGATTATTAATAATCATGGAGGAACTAGAGCAAAAAAAGTACAAACGCACTTAAGTAAAGCACACTTTGTAGTATACTTAATGAATTACATTCCAGATCGGTTTTTAAATATCGTACAACTAATTAATAACTACGTGTAGGATTTGCATTAAAAAATAATAAATCAGTCAAACTGATTAAAATTTAAAGATACTTAAGTACTATTATCGTAGATGATATATATAAATATTAGTTTCTTTTCGTTTTGATTATGATAGAAGGTCAAGTAGAGTATATTACCTGTGCAAATAACGTTATAAGTTGTAAATATAATTAGTTTTAGAATCAAAAGTTAATTATCTACAAAAAAATAATTATCTTTTAAGATGTTAAAGATGTGAAATTTTGGACGATGTGTAACTGCTGAAATAATTGTTAATAAGTAGTTTTGGTTTTTACTGGAATTTGATTTATTTTATTTCCGCCAATAAATCGCCTAAGGAGATACAATTTTTAAATTTTGACGCGCAAAAGTTTCCTCCTTGGAGTGGTTCAAGCCAAGTTAAGTTAAATATAGTTTTGCGAAATCAAAGCAAATGATTTATCATCTCGTGCCCTTTTCAACCAATTTTCAAACTTGGACTCGCAAAAATTCGCTCCTTAGAGAGTAGTTCAAGCCAGTTTAAATTTGTATGATATAAAAGCGCAGCGGGCGGAAGAAAATGGGTTTTTGTAAAATAGAAGGATATGACTCATATTTACAGTATGTATGTTCATTTCAAAAGAAAAAAACAAAATAAACAGTGTATTTATACATATTTTGTTAAAAAAAAGTAAAACAAAATACTGGAATGTTATCTAATCAGGATATATCATGGTAATTATTTCTTGCATAAAGAAATTATATGCATAGTTGATCGTTAGGAGGTACAGTTTTACAGACACAAATTTATTTTCTATTAGAAGAAACTTAATACACCATAATGTACACTGTCTCTGTCTGTTGTTCAAATACTTACACAAGGGATGGATATTGTTAAATAACTTTTTTAAAATTGTTTACAACAAAACAGTCTTAATATCCACTAAATTCAATATTCTCTAATTATTAAATTGATTAATTTCTAATAACATTCGAAATAATTAAACACGTATTTAGAAAAAAAAAACATTTTTCACTGATACAATCTGTAACAGACATTAACAAATACCTACTTCAATTATGATGTCAATTTTTCTAATAGGTACGACATTAAACACTTTTAATAATAATAATCTGAACCTCCTTCGATATCTTTTTTATCACATTTTTTAAAATAATCTGATAATAAAAAATAGATCACAGACTTGTAAGTTATCAGCTGATGTTTGCTAAGTAACAAACTAGCAATGACAATACTAAATCGCTCTCACTTTACGCCTCGACGTTTGTACTTTGTCGTCATAGTCTTGAGCTTTGATGTATAGCAGAACACCCAAAATAACTACAGTGGTACCCAAACCACTGAGAAGCGTTACAGGATTCCCGAACATCAATACAGACAGCCATATAAGGAATGCACGTTTGGCAGTGTTTGCAACACTAGAAAATTAATGAATTATTTGCAAATTAAGAATAATATAATATTTCATAATACAATGGGCCTTGACACAAGTTGTTTAAGGTAATCATCCCTAAAACCGATTAAAATCCAGTAGATTCAATATTTTTTTATTATAAAATTCGAGTTCTTGAAGTAAATCATTAAAGAACATTTCTTAGTTGATATCTCAAAAACAGCAATTTCTAATTTTTTCATTTACTTATTATTCATCAGCAGACTTTTTTTATTTTATGAAACCAAACTGTAAAATATTTTGAAATGAATTACACTTAATCTTAATAAGTCTATGATGCTAAGTGCTTTCTATTTTTTAATTAACAAACGCGTTTGTACACAAATAGTAGAATTTCTCTGAAGTGTCTTTAATTATTCTATTTTATTCCATTTGAACGGATCTGCTGTGTACGTGCCTAATTAGAAAAATTAAGAAAATAATGAAAAATCTTACCTGTGAGTCACTGGACTAATGTAGTCCATAAGAACATATGCAGTAATACTTTGGAAATGAAAGAAAATGCCATTTAATATGTAGCAAAGTATGATGCTTACATCAATCTTTTCTGCATTATCACTTAGATCAACCAATAGTAGAGACATTGGTATCTGAATTACAATGCTAGCAAGACTAGTGTAGAATTGAAGTTCTGCTGGGCTTAAATGCAAATACATTTAAATGTGTTAGACATTTTACCTCATAAATAATTCTTTTTTACCTATACTTGAATTTTTCTCCAGATAACAACATCTTTGAATATACATTTTGTAAACACTCTGTTAAATTTGNAAATATGTTTTTAAAAACAAAAAATAAAATACTTTATTTTTATGCTGAGTACTTTTTTTTTTAACCATTTAGTCGAGAAATACTTTATGTAAAGCCTGAAAAGGTGGCAACCCTACTCACATTGGCCTTTGAAGGTATTAAAAGATTAAAAAGGGGACAAAGTATTTGCATTTTGTAGATTTTATTTAAATAAAACTGTATTCATAACTATTTACTGACATATGAACGTCAGTGTGTAGGTGTAATATAGAACTTACCCGCATAATGGGACTTGCTATCGATAGTATGACCTTGTGAGCTTCTAATTTGCAGTCTTGACAGCTTAAGATGACATCGCATTTGGTTTCAAACGCGAGTAACTTTAAACTGTTTTGTATTATGGCTTCATTCATATTTCTGAAAGTGAAAGAAAATAACGTATTTTTAAAACGCATTTTACAGTTACAATTATCTTTGAGGATGCACGATACCTCGTAAAATTAATATTTAAATTACTATATATTTTTTGCATTTATTTACCATGTATCACAAAATGCATCAGGCAAAGTTTACGTTATATTCAAAGCATATTCCATAAATAAATAAATTTTTGAAGACCGATTGCACGTTATTTGGTAACGGGAACCTATATTAGATACTTTCATGAGACTATAACTTTCCATAAAACTAAATAAAAAACAATTTTGGCATTCCTAAATATTAGAAAAATACTTCTTTGAAATAAAACAAATAATAATTATTTTCAGTGTCTTCTTTTCATGCCGTGGGCTGTATTAAATATTCATAGCGATTTGAGTATACTTTCGCAGCCTTTATCTCCAAATGGAAAACATTTGTTCCATGGCGTTCTGGGGTGTCTTGCCGTCATATTTGCCTTCGCTAGTTTAATATGTATAGTAGTCTATAAACAGAACAATTCCGCTTCTCATTTTCAGACAGATCATTCAAAAGTTGGTCTTACAGCCATTATTGTTATTGTGGTGGCATTTGTTGGGGGGATATTGTTAAAATTGAAAGTGCTCCCTTTAAACATTTTAAAAATCTGTCACCCATTTCTGGGTATTTGTGCGTTAGTTTTAGGACTGGCTACCGAGTGCCTCGGTTTTGATAAGTTCTGGTTTTACACCCTTACTTACAGAACTGCAACTAGAGATGCTTGCATCACACTCGCGACCATATCCATCTTTTGGGTTATTGTAAGACCAGTTATTAATATAGTTGATAGATTACGTAACTGATAAGAATTAGAAATGTACTACTTTTGCATTAAATAACGAAAACATTAAATTTAAAATAATTTATACGTAGAATGCATTGCATTTTATCATAAATATTGTTTGATTAAATTTTTTAAATTATTGTCATCGTAACGTTCAAGTAATTCTATTTTAATAAACGTCGTTATTATTTGTTTTTCATTTGAAATTGAATTTTAAGCCTTTGTTCTGGGTAAGGTTGAGAATCATTGGATCTTGCCTGTTTGGTTCTGCAGGTTAACAATGGAATTATTTATAATAATTAGAAATAATGGGTTATTGTTTAAGTAAGCTGCAATTAATTTTTTAAAATATGAAGAATTAATTGAATGGTGGTTTAGGATTATTCCCCTTCGGTGATAATACCGATGGATTAATCTATCCGATGTTTTACTGAGCTAATTAATTCGGATCGTCACCCGATAATTATTTATAAAAAGGTCATGAAAACACCGCTTCGATTCTGGATTCGACTGCTCTTGTCCAAGTTTTTCTGTGGTTTCCTTAGATCACTTAGGCTAATGCTGGAACAGTAATAATCCACACAAAATCTTTCATCATTCGCATCATGTGGAAACTAAATTTATAATCGCTCAACAGCAATATAATTTTACCGCTTTAACCTCTTATAAATTTTACTGTCGACGTACTTAAAGTTTTCAATTTTTGCAATGCAATAAATAATACACGTAATCATGTTTAACACTTATATTAATTATTGCACACATCCATAAACATAATTGGATCTCATCAGCAACCCCTGTTAAGAGGGTGTGTGGTAATTCGTTACTCAAGGGAACCAATTCGCCCATCGACTTACCTTACCTACTACTTTTGGATACCAATTTGGTCATGACCGTTTCGCCAACTACTGATGCTTGGGGAAGCGTAAGTCCTTAGCGAAACGTTGCGTTGGAGAAACGACTTCGTGGGTTTTCTTACCGAAGGAGGAACAATCCTAGCCTAACCACAGCAATCAAACCCGAACATTATTCTAGTTTAAAGGAGTAATATGATGAAAACAATTAGGAAAAGAAAATTAAAAATATAAATATACAGTAAGTTATCTATAATAATAGTTTATTGCAAATAAAAAAATATAAAAAATAATATCACAGAAAGCGGCGGCAAAATATTACCGTTTCATTTTTTTAACATGTATTTTTTAACGATTAAATGTAATATTTAATTAACGTATTTTCGTTTTAATAAAATTAAAGTACATTATTGTATAAATGGTTACGGTGGTAACTCTCCTGGTTGGGGTTGACATGGTTTAAGGACGCATTTTTTGTAGTGAGTTCTCATGTTGCTACTTTGCGAAAAGGCCAAACCACAATTTTGGCAAGAGTATGGCTTTAAACCGGTATGAAAGTTCATATGTGTTTTTAAATGATGCTTTTTAGTAAAACTCTTCGGACAGAGGGTGCATGTGTATGGCTTTACACCTGTAAGTAATAAAAGTAGAAGTAAAATAGTACCTTTATGTGTCAAGAAACATAAATCACTTATTACTAGAAACATCTAACTAACGATAAGTTATCTATTAGTAAGGGGATTTTCAAGGTATCTACATGGGGATTTAAAAATATTGTATAAATAAATGACGTAACTCTTTAAATATTGATAAAAACTCATTTGACTCATTATGACTATAATAATAATTACATACAATGAAAAATGTAATTGTACAAATGATTTTGGTATTTGGTGAATTTGGATGGTTATGCCGTAAAAGCGTAAAGGATCCCTTTATCTAATCAGTCTGAAACTACTATAAATTTTTCATTGAAGGAACTCTAAGATTCTTAAAAACACTGAATTTTTAATTACAACAGGTAAAGTAATTTAATTTGAATTACAATACACTTTACGTAAATGCCATGATACTTCAACTAAAAAGTAATTAATGTTTGCACTTTTTATTAGCTGCATCATTTATGTTACCTAATTAATGTACGGTGTGTTCTATTTTTTTGTTCTGTATACTGTACAGTACAGCAATAATATAAACAGTAGGTTTTGTTTATAACGATATCTGATATAACGATATACCTACAGCAACGAAATGTCGAAATCCTTGACAGAAATAAATAATAATTAAAATACTTATTGCCAAAACAAATTAAAGTGACAGATATTTTTGTTAGAATATACCTCCCCAATTATTCTTAAATAAATAATGTAGGTACGTATTTTGGAGCATTATGTTAATAAACTAGTTCGATACAGCGACGTACGGTTATAATGACCAAATATCGCTGGTTCCTTCGTCGTTATAAACGACATCAAGTGTACTAAAATTCACATAATATGAAAATATACGATTTTGTTAATAACTGTAAGGCCTGTAAGATTTTTAATAATTAAAAAAAAAATACCGGTGTGTAGTCTTTGATGTAAACTCATGTTCGATCTATCTGCAAACGTTTTTCCACACTCTGGACAACTGTATGGTCTTTCACCTGTATGCACTCGCTGATGCTGTTTGAGTAACATTTTTCGCGAAAACCCCTTTCCACATGTTGGACACTCGTGGGGTTTAAGCCCTGAAATGAACGGATTAGATAACTATCACGATTTAGAATATTCAAAAGATTTTATTGTTTTTCTTTTTCTTTTTCCTGTACCTAATCTAGTAAAATAATTGTAAAGGCAGTGAAATTGAAATATAAAAATTCTAAGTACCTTTAAAATTAATGTTACATCGAACAAAAGGTTCATCATTTAGAATAAGAATCAAAGAACACTTCAATGATGCTGCTTCATATATTAACTTTAACTTTAAATTTAAAGTAGTAATTTTAGTGAATGAAAATAAAATCGCATCAGAATAAGAAAAAAACACCAATTTGACTAAACTATTTAATGTGTGTACAGGTCTTACTGTGGGGTAATAAAGTTAATGTTCGCGTGTATTTTAATCACTAAAAAATTATCTACTCGGACATTGAATAAAAATCAAAATATATTATTTATTATGATTTGAAAATAACTTTCTTTATGGTACGGGTCAGGTAATGGATATTTAGTTTTATACCTTTTACACCTTAAAATAAAAGAAGCCGCCGATTTGTTGCCTCCGTTTTATGACCGTTGCATTTTATTTATACATACCTATGACGCTGGTCGCGCAATTTGTTGCAGTTGCAACGACGATATTAGACGAAAATATTTCGCAAGTCATTTTCTATATGCAACTTGTTAATTAATCGATATAAAAAATAAATAAGTACCTGTATGAACCCTGAGGTGCATATTGTACGCAACTCTTTGGTTGAATCTCTTGGGACAGTGCGGACATGCGTACTCTTTACGGTCTCGGTGAATTTTTAAATGACTACTCAGATAACCTCGGTCATTAAAATGTTTTCCGCACTCCGGACAACGAGCTGCGAATTCTTTCGTACCTTCATGTATTGATCTGAAACCAATTCGAAATTAAAAAAATCTGAAATTCAAAACATATTTGTTCCATTTTTTCACCTCATTAAAACTTACACTTACGTTTCGCCTCTAGTTTGACGCTTTCTCAAGGTGGGTTTTTAAAGTCACAATATGCTGCTAGTAAACTGTCGTGTACCATACACCTTGACATTTAAGAGTGGTTAATATCAAATATTAATGTGAAAATTCAATTTCAATGTCTTACCCACTATAAACTACCTCAGGTTAATGAGGGAAAATTTGTTGCTGTTGTCACACCCTTGTCAGGAATCGCACCTGCATTGGTGCGTAAAGCCAAAGGTCCTGGGTTCGATTCCCAGCTAGGGTATGATAACAGCAACAATTTTTCCCCTGAGGAAATTTTATAGTGGGTAAGAAATTGAAAATGAATTTTCACAATAATATTTGTGACTAAATAGTGTATTGTGACTATAAAAACCCACCTTGAAAAAATCTCAAACTAGGGGCGAAACGTCTAATAAATCTTTTTACATCCCTAACCAGCTTTGATTACATTCATCTAAAAGTATGTAATCTAACTTTAATATAATAAATGCAAATTTTTTGGTTTATTACCATTTTACACCTCGACTATTCAACCCATCATCATGAAATTTTGTTCATACAATGTCAGGGGTACAGAAATAGACGTAGGTTATCTTTTATTTAGAACAAAGATACTGTTCCCGAGGGATAGGAAAATTAGTTTTATATGTTCGTTGATGGTCTTTGATAAGTATTTAGGGCATCAACGTAAGCGAAGCCGCGAGAAAAACTTAAAACGTAAAATTGTTATTTGGCTTCTCAGAAAGTAGATTTTGGGTAAAACTCTTGATTTTCCGAAAAATCCTAATAAAATTTCTTAGTCGTGTTTAATTACAATAATGTGTTATTAATTTATGGTTTCCGTTAATAAAATACAAAAGTACTGCGTATTTTTTGCGATAACAAATTTATTATCAAATATGTGCCGTTATCAGAAATTAGATAGCGTTCGAACAGAATTCACGCATTAAAAAATAAATTTAAAAATATATCCCACTATGAAAATCACATTCATGCCTATTCTATGGAAAGAATGAGTGTTTTGTTTTGCAGTTACTACTAATTATCTTTTTATGTATGTTTTTCTTGGATGTTCTAAGACTATGTGATCGAAAGATTTCTGCACTTAGCATGCCGATATTTAGGGTGCCGTATAACTAAGAATGGAAAAAGCACTCGATATATAAAATAAAAAATAGGGCAATGTTGGGTGAAAATTAATCACTTTTGTGCTCACAAACTATAAAAAAGTGACAATTTTTTCTTCGAATTTGCGTAGTTAAGTATACATATATTTGCACTTTTTATTCGCGTTTGTAACCCGTGTTGTAGCTTCTGTTTGCAAAATACTTTTTTTTTTATTGCACATATACATGAAATGCTTCTGTCCATTTGATGATTTATTTGCATACCGTATAAGTGCATATGTACATACAAATTTGCATGTATGTGTAAGTGACATAATCACTTCCTAATTGTTTTCGCATCTTTCAATTCTACTTTCGCGATTACTGATAAATGACTTTTTACAATAATTGATTTGTTGGAAGTTTGTCTTTTATGTCGCCGCCGAGCAACGAAATACATTTGCACTTACCTTCTAGAAATATGATAACAACCGTTATTGTATCTCATAAAAATTAACCACTTACGTATCTGTTTTAGATAATTTCTGTTTTTATCTCGATTAAAATAAGAACATACGGTCTGAACTTGCATACCTATAAGCATAGGTATCAGCGGTGGTTTTTAAAACGTTTTTCACCGGACGTGAATACGTAAATTAACAGTCGCTTGTTATTTCATTATTTAACTTGTAATTGTTTAGTCATTTGAACATCCGGACGCTCCCGGTCAGGAAACGCGGTTGTCGAATGATCAGCAACAACTATTTGTTTATAATTTTACGAAGATCGGTAGGCTGTATAGTTATTACAGGAAGTACCAGTGAATGTACATATTCTATCGTATTAGATACATTTGTATATGATTGTAACTCGCAAAATTAATTAAACCTGCCCCTGTTTATAATTGTTTACCTGTGATACTTAAAATTCCTCAATTGACTAAAGCATTTCCCACAATCCTGACACCTAAATGGCTTTTCCTTATTCCTATTGGTGTTTGTGGAGTCGTTTTCCTCTTCAATTGTTTTCTGTTCTGTTTCTCCGGGGGCAGAAGAAAACGCTACTTCTTCTATGGTACTCGATCTTTTTACTGGATTGTTTAGTGGTTTTAAATTAATTTTGCCATCTTCTTCCTTCGAATGTTGCAATGGCGGCGGCGGCGAAAGTAAGCGAGGAGGCGGAGGGGATAATAAAGGATATCGGGGAGGATGATGATGTAGGCAATTCGTTTGAGGGGTTGCCAAAATAGGAATGGGTTTTATTATCGAACTGTTTCCAGGGGGATGCACGAAAGAAGGTGTTGCATATGTGAAATTGTTATTGGAATCGTTTTTATCATATTGGTGCTCAAGTAGGGCTGGGGGTGGCTAAAAAATTATTTTCATTTTTAAAAAAGTAGTTACTTAAGATTGAAGTTCTCAATAAAATATTAAATTGAGTTGAGTAGATGAAGGGACCATTGGTCACCAAGGAAAGGTAGGAGAGTGTAGAAATGATGTTAATGGTCACTAAAAATTCTTAGTGGGAATAAAATTCCAGTCTTTATGTATCTCAAAATATGTACTCGAAACAGGTTAGTAAAATATAGGGTTGTTCGGAAAGTCATTTCATTTTTTCCCGACAGAGGATTTAATTGTATTCTTTTGCACCCAACTTCACATTTAAGCCGTATAATTTTTATATGCTTTGAGAGCTCATATAGCAAGGCTTGTGTGTGAAAAATTCCAATTAATTCTACGCAGTAGTTTTTGGTTGGTGCCCTTTTAAATATGGAGAGCGATAAGCAGCATTTTCGACATATCTTACTGTTTTACTACAGAAAGGGTAAAAATGCTGTTCAAGCCAGAAAGAAATTGACTGATGTGTATGGAGAAGGTGTGTTGACAGTACGCCAGTGCCAGAACTGGTTCGCTAAATTTCGATCCGGCAATTTTGATGTCGAAGATGCACCACGTTCGGGAAGGCCGGTTGAAGCTGATAAAGACGCGATAAAGGCATTAGTTGATGTGAACCGGCGAATAACAACACGTGAGATCGGATTGAGGTTAAATTTATCAAATTCAACAGTTTATGACCACTTGAAAGGCCTGGGATTATCCTCGAAGCTCGATGTATGGGTTCCCCATGTTCTCACAGAGAGAAATCTGTGTCGCCGCATTGACGTCTGCGATTCGCTTCTCAAACGTCACGAAAATGATCCGTTTTTGAAGCGCATCATCACTGGGGACGAAAAATGGGTTGTATACAACAACGTCAAACGCAAGAGGTCATGGAGCAAAAAAGATGAACCGGCTCAAACCATTTCCAAAGCCGATATTCACCAAAAAAAGGTGATGCTGTCTGTTTGGTGGGATTTTAAAGGAATCGTTTTTTTTTAGCTTTTACCGGATAACACAACGATTAATTCGGAAGTCTACTGTCATCAGCTGGACAAACTGAATGATGCACTTCAACAGAAAAGGTCAGAACTAATCAACAGGAAAGGTGTAGTGTTTCACCAAGACAACGCGAGACCTCACACAAGTTTGGTCACTCGCCAAAAGCTTTTACAGCTTGAATGGGATACAATGCTACACCCACCATATTCTCCAGACCTGGCACCATCGGATTATTATTTGTTCCGGTCACTCCAAAATTTTTTAGACGGTAAAACCTTCACCTCAAATGAGGAGGTCAAAAACCTCCTCGATCAGTTTTTTGCCAGCAAAGACCAAAAATTTTATGAGCGTGGAATTATGCTACTACCAGAAAGATGGCAAAAGGTGTTGGACCAGAACGGTCAATATATAATTTAATAAAGTATTTGTTTATTATCTTTCATTTTCACAAAAAAAAAACGAAATGACTTTTCGAACAACCCTATAGCTTCTTTAACAATTATTCCTATATTTTTTTGTGGAGTTCGCCTTCTTAAATTGACCCAACTGAATTCCTAAAAACCTTAAGTATTTTTTTACCTGTAAAGAAATAATTTCTGAACAGTTGGGTAGGCAGTCTATTTCTCTCGGGCTAGCAAGCAATGGAACATTCCTTGGACACCAAGGACTAGGAGTAGCTTGATTGTAGAGTCCTTTTCTGATTTTATATCTACGATTAATGCTCGATAAAGGCATAAGGTCGGGAAGTTTTTTGAGCGACTTATTATTATTATTATTAACGCTGCTACTTGCTTCGTTTTTTCGCCTGGAATAATTAATAATTTCATCTGGACTAAAAGTGATTCGGTCAGAAAAATCAGAGCTTCTTCCTTCCTGAAAAATGAATAGATGAGGGAGGAGGGTCTTGTTTCTAAGTGCAAACATCTTTTGATGTTCCGTGAGATAGCTCCACTATTTTATAGAAAAAAAAAGTATTTTTGCTGAATTGACTGTTTCACAACATAACTTTACCCAAAAATGACAAGGCTAACTTATTTTTGAAAAAATTATATAAGTGTACATTGAACACAACTCTTTTTATTTATTATTTCAAAAATGTCAGAACTCTATTACTGGACAGGGCTTCGTGAGCATTACCTTCACAACTTGAGTAACATTTTCTTCTTTGGAGCGATGGACCGGTCCTTCGTTTTTTGGAAACTCATCTTTCTTTTGATCTAAATATTCATAGTCTAAAGGTATTTTCAGTAAGCAAGCCAGGTTGATAAAGTCTTCTAAGTCGTGGGATAATAAACTAACAGATCCGCTATAAATGTAGTCAAGTAGACGAGCCATAATTTTGCTGTTTACATCGGGGAATATCAGGATAGCGGGATACTCCGGACTGTGTTGTAAAAGGTCCTAAGTATTAATTTCATCTATTATGTTCGTACATGTTAATTTCGATTAAATGTTTTTTTGGAATGACTTGTTAAACAAGATAATTTTCAATTAAAATATTCTAGTTTATATTATTAGGGAAACATGAATTGTCAGTAGTTGTATAAAAAGTTTTTCAAATAAGTCAGGGTTGTATAAAAGACAAGATCTTCCAGACAAAGATGTGATTTATTTGAAATATGTACTTGAATTTAAAATGCAAATACAAAATAAAAAATACCTATTTTTATCTTGCATTTAAATACTTTTTTGAGAAAAGCATTTTGTATTTTATTTAAAATACTTTTCCAAACGTATTT